TTGCAGAGAAATTTCAAAGAAATTGCTTTTGAGAAATAGTCAGCAGGGGGTCTGAAGTAAGATAACCTAATGTTTTTACAGTCAAATCTTTATGCTATCTAAATGAATTTGAAAATGATATAGATTTAAATTATACATACAGGGGCTTTAAAAAATGTTTTGTCCTGAACCTAATTTCTTTTACCAATGCAAATCATTGATACCATTAGTGGTTGTAATGTCCAAGTTGCGAATACTAACAACATTGCTTGGCCACTCTTTGGCCACTCAATTGAACTGGAATGGCTCAAACCAAAAGAGACCTTTTCAGAACCTGAGGCCAAGGAGGGTTGTAACAGATCAGCTAGCATGCAGTTTTAGAAATAGCAAATATAAATTACTTACCACACACAGTGATTTTTTTCATATAGGCCATTTGCTTTTCAGAGGCTGTAAGAAAATTCTGCTTTCAGCCAAGTCCTCCTGATTCTGAAGTTGAAAGTGAGATAAAAGTGTGGTTGCGGAATTCAAGAGCTAGAGCAGGTGGTTGAAAGGAGCGCTACCACCGTCTGTTGACTAGTTGAGAGACCTCAGGGGAAGAGTGAGCTTTGCCAATGAATACTTTAGCACACAAAAACATTTTAAACAGAGGTCAAAGTAATAATTTGGTATTTTTATTTTTTATGTTAATTTGAAAGATTGTAGTCTACAAAGATTGTAGTCCCTTTCAGAGTGTCAAATTAGCTGTAATAAACTGAACTGAATGTTTTCTATTTTGTATTTAATAAATCCATTGATTTGAAATCCCTTTGGCTACTGTACATTTTTGACAATACAGACATTAGTTATGTGGTGACTGCATCCATTTCAGATGTATAATAATTGTTTTTCCCAAAGGCTTGTTTGTTCGTTATACTTTATTGTTCAGCCTTGGCTGAAAATTAGTCTTTGGTCTCGCTTAACATTCAACAATGACAATACAATCCACATATCAATACAATTCACATATTACATAAAATAAATACTTAATACATTCATCCCTCCTAAAAACGCAGCAGTCCTACCCTTTATTCAAGAGAGTTATTGCATATGGCACAAAGGTTTGTTTATAAATTGCTTTAGTTGCCTTCAGTGTCCTATAACTGCATCCAGATGGTAACAATTCGAAGGCATAGTTCAGAGGGTTCGTTTTATCTCCACTTATAGTCAAAGCTTTCCTCCTAACTGCCATTATTTTGCTTGCCATCCTTATGATCCTGTTTAATTGTACTTTATTTACAGACATTATTCTCCCAAACCAAGCCGTTATATTATACCCTAAAACACTTTCTATTAAACTAATATAAACTCTTTGTATAACACCTTGGCTAACAGAAAATTCTCTCAATTTCCGTACCAAATATAACCTCTGATTTGCTTTTTTACAGATAAAATCCTCATTACCAGAGAAATTCAGCTTACAATCAATCATAGTACCCAAATACTTAAAAACCTTCACAGTTTCAACTGGTTGATCACATAACGTCATTTCTGTTAAGGGTTCTGGTGATTTAAAATAAACTCTTTTGTCTTCCCAACATTTATCAGTAGAGAACTTGCTTTTCACCATTTTTCTAATTTCAAAACATGCTCTTCATACTCATAATCAAAGCAATCTTTCCATAAGAGTACAACCAGTGCCATATCGTCTGCATATTTCTGTAATTTATAATTTGTACTCTGAATTTGCATATGATTTATATAGACAGAAAATAATAGGGGAGGCAAACCGCATCCATGATAGTGGTCCTGTATTTAGAAAGATAATGTCTGATTTAACCCCCTGACAGACTTCTTGTGGTCTATCTGTTAAAGGGGTCATCGGATGCTCATCTTGCACAAGTTGATATGATTCTTTAGGGTCTTAATTAAAAGTCTATAACATACTTTGGTTAAAATTTCTCAATGTTAGTGTAAAAAACACTTTTTAAACCTGTCAAAATCAGCTCTGTTTTTAAGGCTGATTTATACTTCTGCGTTGGACCTACGTCGTAGCTTACGCATAGACGCACACCCATACGCCGTAGCCTGACGTGCACCTCTCCAAAAATCTAACAGCGCGTCAATTCTACACAGACCGCAAGCGCTGTGATTGGTCTGCAAGAACCTCTCCCTCCATATGTACTTGAGTTTTGTGTGTGTTTATGTGCACTTTAATATATTTTAATGTTACACCTTCTTATATAAAATAAAACAAAGCAAAGAACAAGTGTCTTATCTTTGACAATACAGACATTAGTTATGTGGTGACTGCATCCATTTCAGATGTATAATAATTGTTTTTCCCAAAGGCTTGTTTGTTCGTTATACTTTATTGTTCAGCCTTGGCTGAAAATTAGTCTTTGGTCTCGCTTAACATTCAACAATGACAATACAATCCACATATCAATACAATTCACATATTACATAAAATAAATACTTAATACATTCATCCCTCCTAAAAACGCAGCAGTCCTACCCTTTATTCAAGAGAGTTATTGCATATGGCACAAAGGTTTGTTTATAAATTGCTTTAGTTGCCTTCAGTGTCCTATAACTGCATCCAGATGGTAACAATTCGAAGGCATAGTTCAGAGGGTTCGTTTTATCTCCACTTATAGTCAAAGCTTTCCTCCTAACTGCCATTATTTTGCTTGCCATCCTTATGATCCTGTTTAATTGTACTTTATTTACAGACATTATTCTCCCAAACCAAGCCGTTATATTATACCCTAAAACACTTTCTATTAAACTAATATAAACTCTTTGTATAACACCTTGGCTAACAGAAAATTCTCTCAATTTCCGTACCAAATATAACCTCTGATTTGCTTTTTTACAGATAAAATCCTCATTACCAGAGAAATTCAGCTTACAATCAATCATAGTACCCAAATACTTAAAAACCTTCACAGTTTCAACTGGTTGATCACATAACGTCATTTCTGTTAAGGGTTCTGGTGATTTAAAATAAACTCTTTTGTCTTCCCAACATTTATCAGTAGAGAACTTGCTTTTCACCATTTTTCTAATTTCAAAACATGCTCTTCATACTCATAATCAAAGCAATCTTTCCATAAGAGTACAACCAGTGCCATATCGTCTGCATATTTCTGTAATTTATAATTTGTACTCTGAATTTGCATATGATTTATATAGACAGAAAATAATAGGGGAGGCAAACCGCATCCATGATAGTGGTCCTGTATTTAGAAAGATAATGTCTGATTTAACCCCCTGACAGACTTCTTGTGGTCTATCTGTTAAAGGGGTCATCGGATGCTCATCTTGCACAAGTTGATATGATTCTTTAGGGTCTTAATTAAAAGTCTATAACATACTTTGGTTAAAATTTCTCAATGTTAGTGTAAAAAACACTTTTTAAACCTGTCAAAATCAGCTCTGTTTTTAAGGCTGATTTATACTTCTGCGTTGGACCTACGTCGTAGCTTACGCATAGACGCACACCCATACGCCGTAGCCTGACGTGCACCTCTCCAAAAATCTAAACAGCGCGTCAATTCTACGCAGACCGCAAGCGCCGTGATTGGTCTGCAAGAACCCCTCCCTCCAAATGTACTTGAGTTTTGTGTGTGTTTATGTGCACTTTAATTTATTTTAATGTTACACCTTCTTATATAAAATAAAACAAAGCAAAGAACAAGTGTCTTATCACCGCCGTCACGGCTATAATGCTTCTCTGACGAGCTGCTTCTTCTTCGGCTTTTGCCATGGTACTGCGGGTTACACCAGCAACATGCCCGTGGACACTGCTGACTAGCGGTTTGCATGTGTACTGCACGTTGACGCAGACAACGACGCAGACGTATAAATGAAAACTGACGCATAGGTCCGACGCAGAAGTATAAATCAGCCAAACAACTTGAAAAGTGAATTTTGCATCCGATGACCCCTTTAAGACATTTTTAATCCAGTGAATTATTACTCCGTTCACTCCTAAAACTAAAAGACATTCTAAAAGTAGATGTATCTGCATCGTATTAAATCAATGAAAACAAAACGTGCGTTGGCCTTTACTTGTTGTAAATGACTAGCAATTGTATCGACCATAGTGAGTGTAGCATCCTCTGTCCCTCTTTGTGGCTTATATGCAAATTGCAATACATCTGGTATGTACGATTTAAGGTGATAACTAATGACACTTTCCATTAATTTAGCAAGTGTTGATGTCAAGGCTACGGGGCGGAAGTTTTCAAATTTTTTTGCCCCCACCTTTTTAGGAATGGGCCAATTTCCACATATTAGGCACAGTCTGAGAGTTTCATAAAAACTTAAATAATTTTGTTAAAGTGTCAGTTAATTTATTCGCACAAACCTTTACAACATGGCCACTAAGGCCATCTGGATATGGCACGTTACAGCACCTGGTTTGCTTAAGACACATTCTAGTGTGTTCGCCTATCAAGCAAATAGGTGAACCCACAGGAATCCTGGCACCAGTTTCTTCAACCTTATCTCTGTTACCAACTATATCATATCTTCTGTAAAACATGTTTAAATCATTAACCCATTTTAAAATATCTGTGTCTATAATAACATGTTTTGCACCTTTTAAGTCGAGCCCCATCATCTTATTTAACCCTTGCCAAGTACTCCTCTTTAATAAACCATGGCTTGTTATTTGAAAAGATTTTAACCACTTCAGTATCAATAACAGTCTCTTCACAGAATTGAATATAAGAAGTGATACAGTCTGATAATTCATGAGGGTCTCTGCAAGAATCAAAGAAAACATCCCAGTTTGTAGTGCAAAAACAATCCTGTAACATGTCCTCTTTATCGTTGCTTCAAACCTGGTTTTTCTTTTCCACCGGTTTCTCATTTCTAACACGTTGTCTGTATTTTGGCAGTAAATGGATCACCTTATGAACCGATCTGCCAATGGGTGCTGTACATATTGGCCTATATGCATCCTCAAAGTTACCATAACACAGATCCAATGTGTGTGAGAAAATGGTTGAGCATTCAATATATTGCTGCAGGTTCGGAAGAGTCTCTCTTAATAAAAGAGTATTAAAATCCCCCAGTATGAATACTGGTTGATCTGCTGACTTTGTTAGGATCCAATTAAAGCACTCTGCAATGTGCTCTGCTGCCTCGCCATTATTAGGTGATACGAAATGTTTTTGTATACAGCTAAACACGTCTCCGTGTGGACGGGGCCTCAGACAATAACAAAAGGTAAAGGATTGTTTTTAATCTCCACATAATTTAGCATAACCCTGTCAAATCCATGCCACATATTTGCAAAAGAAAGTACTGAGCAAAAAAAGTAAAAAATAAATAAATAAATAAAAACTTTTATAATTGATTGCATACTAATGATTTTAATATCAAAATTAGTTTGATAAAAGTAATATAATTAGCACATAATCCAATTAACACATTTTTATATAATATGATAAGGTATATTTTTTATAAGGTGTATGAGGATATCTTACACTGTGAAAGTAATGTTCTGGGATTAATTAGCTGCTTTAAAATGTTTAAACTGCAGAGGGTATCAGAGCCTTCACAAAACAAGCATCAATTATCTTTTAACGACCAGTTTCCCAGGTGAACAATATTTCTTATAATTAGTCATTTGCTCTAATTGGACTGGTGAAGGCCTATAAAATACACTTACCTTCAGTTGCATGTATGTTTGGATTTGTTGATTTTGTGTGGTGGTTTGAGAATTTGAACATTGGGTTTTTGGAGTACTTGTGGTTTTTTGTCATGGATCAAAGGTGGAAAAGTTGAGTTTGTTCATTCAATCTGTGTTTGTGAACGACTCTGCGTACATTTGCTAATGTGTGCTATTTTATTTTTTATTTTGTGTAGGTTACCCTTGCTAGTAATCATCTTGTTATTTTGGAGGGATGCTGATGGATTTAAAGGTGAGTTTGTGCCCCTCATTTCATTTCAAGGATAAAGGGGACTTGTGTACTAAAGTCTTCTGTTTTGTTTAATTCTTCAGGTGGAGTTTCTTCCAGTGCCCATCATGGGTGGGGTCAGCCTTCTGACGCTTTCTCACCTCGTGCAGTCCAGTCTTCTATGTCAGAGGTCCATGTGACTGGGATTTTGCCTGTTGAAGAAGTGGGCTCCAGTTTGTTCCCTAACAAACCCCTGAAAAGCAAGTCCAAGTTGAATCTACTTCAGTTTGTCAAAGGTGGTTCCAGCAGCTATCAGTCAATGTCCCATGCCCAAACTGCTCCAAGCAGCTCTGTCTCCGCTTCCTTGCCTCTGTCCCTGAATCAACAGCATTCAAGCAGTTTGGCATCCTCTGGATCAACCATTCCAGGTGTTGCTGGTGGATTAAGTTTGGAGACCCAATATGCTGCAAGTGGTTCAGGACAAGTTGTTTCTACCCTAGGAGAGCGTAGTAGCTATCCTGTTAAGCTTGGTGTTTCTGGCCAATCCACCAGTGACACTTTGCATGTGTCCGGCTCCCAGGAAACCTCTGTTCAACTGGCAGAAGCCTCTTTGCCTGCGTTCTCTAAGAAAGTCTCTTACCGCAGTTCATCTGCTCCAGGTGTTACTTCCACTTCTCGGCGTAGCCCTGCACTACTTTCACAAAGCTTGGGTCAACCTGTATCTTCTCGGGCTGAAGTTGGCTACAGTGGTTCGTCTCAAGGTGCCTCTAGTCCGTATACCCCAGACTCCAATACCATGCTCGGTTCTTCGACTTCTAGTCAGCCCAGTGGTGACCAGAGCTCCCCCAGTGTGTTTGGCTCAAGCTTTCAGGGTAGTTCTGACACCTTTTTTAGCGTCTGGTTTTTCTCTTCTAGAGGAAGTGGCAGGGCTTAGACCTCTTGACTTGTCTTCCAAATCTCCAGAGACGTCCAGTCAGTTTCAGCCCTTGGTGGCATCTAGCCAGTCAACAAATGTTCAGGGTTCACCTAGTGTCTACGTCAAGCACCCAGAGCAGGTCTGGCCTTCAGTTAGCAACGTCCAGTCATTTTATCCCTGTGCAAGGAGGTAGTAGCTCTGTTAGTTTATATCTCAAGCCTCAGGGCACTCTGGGTCAGTATGCTCCTGCCAAATATACAAGCACTCCCATGTCTGCACCCCAAGCTACCACAAATAGTGGGTCTTCCTATAGAGCTGTTTCATAGGTTGGTTCTCTCTCAAATGGGAGCTTCTGGTCAGTTTACATCTCTGGGTGGGAACTATTACAGGGGGTTGCTTCCACAGTCTCAAGCTACCTCTAGTCAATATGCTCTTGGCTACTCCAAGCCCATTTCCTCGCCCCAAAGCACTTCCAGTCAGTCCACCAGTGCCTTGAGTTCCCGTAAACAATATAGCTCTGCCTACCAGGGCAGCTCTGGGCCTCAGTTTGGGGGGCTCTACAGGTTTTGCCTCGCAGGGAATGAGCAGCTCTTACAGTGGTTCTGTCCAGTCTCAAGGTACCAGAAATCAGTTTGCTCCTGGGTCTTCCCCCTATGCAAGTGTATCCCTGTCCTCACCCGAAGCTGGTCCATCTACTACTGTTCAGGGTTCTCGGAAGCGGTTTACCTACACCTACACTGGCAGCTCTGGCACACAGACAGGATCTACTCCCTTCACCCTGCATGGAAGCACTGCTTATGGTGGATCACGTCAGACTCAAGATGCTGAAAGTCAGTATGCTCCTGCGTCTTCCCCCTATGCAGGTGTATCACTGTCCTCACCCCAAGCTGGTCAATCTACTACTGTTCAGAGTTCTCGGAAGTGGTTTACCTCCACCTACACTGGCAGCTCTGGCACACAGACAGGATCTACTCCCTTCACCCTGCATGGAAGCACTGCTTATGGTGGCTCACGTCAGACTCAAGATGCTGCAAGTCAGTTTGCTCATGGGTCTTCATTCCCATATGCAAGTGTCGTTCTTACCCCAAGGTGTTGGTAGTCAGTCCAGCCAAGCATATCAAGGCCATTCTGTGTCCCAAAGCCAGAAGTCTCAAAGATGGCAGCCTTCAGCTGCTCGTTGGACACCAGTCATTCAGACCTCAGATGCAGCTGCATCACAGGGTAGCTCTTCATCTCAAAGCTCTCCAATGCAGTTCTCTTCCCTGTCATCTGCAGGAGGCTCATCTTCAAGAGTTTCTGGACCGTTTGTTTCTGCACCGGGTGGTAGCACCAGTTATGGTGGCTCTTTCCAGTCTCAAAGCCTCTCTACAAAGTATACCCCTGGGTCCCAGCTTCTGCCCTATGTTCCAAGTGTTGCTGGTCAAGGCACATCCAGTGCTTCTTCTGAGGTCTTGAGTAGCCACAGTTCAGTGAATAACCAGAATGCTCCTGCTCCGTCCCGCAGCTCTTCTTCGAGTCACTTCTACTCCGTCAAGGGCTAAAAGACTCTGGTAAACTGCCACATGATGCATGTCTTCCATAATTGAAAGTTCAATGAAGCTTTGAAGCAAAGCAGCGTTCTGTGTGTGGGGTTTTTTTTTCTTTTTTTTTCTTAAATGCCATTTTAAAGGATGGTGGAACTTTTGCTGGCTTGGTTGCCGTGACTGTTGAAGGTGCCATGTATGGCTTTAAACTGCTCTCCTACAAATGTTTGGATTAATGTGCCAAAGGGTTTAAAAGGTGGCATTTTCTTTGTTTTAGTGACTTATGCATTGCCTAAAGGTTTATTAACATGACACTATTTTTTTTTGGGAAAAATGGAAAGCTGTTTGTTTATATGCCAATGGCTTTTTGGGGCCACGAAAGCGAACTCTTGGAAAATTGACTTGCGTTCAAGTTTTGAAGACTGTATTTGTGGGAAAGTTGGTTGTCCTATAGTGTTCAGACTACAGGAATGCCTGTGATGACTAGTAATTTCCTACTGCTAAAGTATGGAAAAAAAAATGGGTAATTGGACCAAAAACCTCCCATGTAATAACCTAGAACACAACTTGATGGCTGCTTTTAATTCTGTCATTAATTAGGACCCTGGGTGTGCTATTTGATAATCTTTCCTTTGACAACCATGTTTCTAGCATTTGTGAAACTGCTGTTTTTTTTTGTTTTTTTTTTTTTTCTTTTAAATCCAATTATGACCTATGCTCCATTCCAAATGCAGAAATGTTAATGGTTTTAATGACCTTAAGGTTACATTATTGTAATGTGTTGTGTCTGGACCAATCAGACTTTTATTTTTTTAATTATATTTAACAAATACTCTAACACCCCCTCAGTCAACAAACCAACTATGAGGGTGTATGGACCCTTCCCCTGAAATGCATCTAACACCTCTCAACAAACCAACTATGAGGGTGTATGGACCCTTCCCCTGAAATGCATCTAACAACTCAAAGGCAGAACAGGCCTCTGGTTCCATGGCAACCAATGCTGATATCACTGGCTTTATTGCCCAAAGGAATGTGGGCAGAGAAACTCACAATTAATTTACCCTTAGGAAAGACACACAATGCCCAAAAATGGACTATTCTCTAATTAATTAATAGAAAAACCTTTCTGTGAATGAACACACATATCCTTCAGGTCATTGCGTATATTATTGCTGTCTTGTATATTATCTGTTGTATTGTAGACTATTTTATGCATGCTTATGATAGAACCACTCATTCATGTAACCTTACATATACCGTGTTTGGTCTCTATAAATTCGTATTCGGATGATCTAATTGAGAGTGTATATTGTATGTTTATACCTATGCAACATATTAGGGTTCTAAGAACTTTTAGTAATCTTTCGTCGACACCCAAGCAAATTACATATGCGAAATACCATGCTTAGAGACAAAGGGTCGTAAAACCCTCCAGCAGTTGCAACCG